AAGCAAACTTGCAAACAAGGGGGAGGGTCCTGCGATACAAGCACAAAATTGTCACTCTGTTTGATGAGACTGGCAAGGTATTCAGCCTGCTCGAAGGCGTGGTCGATCTGCTTCTCAAAACCTGCAGCACCATAGTATATCCAGGCCAAAGCAAGCTTGAGACTGTCACCGCGGCGACCGCACTGCAAGGTTAAATCTGCAAGGTCCCAGATATCATCGCCATCGTTGGTATGGAACAAATAGCCTGCGGCGGTGCTGTTGGCCTTGTTGAAGATGTTCATATCTGGTCCGAGGAGGAATGAGCATGTGACAGGAACGTTCATCATCTTATGAGGGTTCACTGTCAATGAATCGGCCAGGTGGGCGCCATTGAGCTTATGCTTTTGTTTCGACGAGAAGATAGCAGGGCCTCCCCAGCTTGCATCGATATGCATCCAGAGGCCAAACTCCTTGCAAATCTTGGAAATCTCCTCAAATGGCTCATATGAGCCCATGACAGTGGTTCCAGCCGTCGAGTTCACATAAAAGGGTGTCTTGCCTTCATCCCTGGCACGGATGACCAGCTCCCTCAGGGCATCCGGCCTCATGCATCCAAACTCATCCACAGGAACAGGCCAGACGCTGTTCGAACCAAGACCACAGATCATGGCACTCTTTTCAACCGAGTAATGCCCATGAGCACTTGTAAAGACGACGAAATCATGGTTACCATTGCCTGAAGCTCTGCATTCTGGGAACAAAGTATTCCGGGCAACGACCAGGGAAGTCAAGTTTGAGGCGCTTCCTCCCTGACAGGAGATGCCCCCTGCTCTGGATCCAGTGAAACCAAACAAGTGTGCCAGGGTCTTTGCTGTGGTTTTTTCAACGATGGTGAGGGCGGGAGAAACTTGGAACACATGGAGCTAGAGGGTGTTAAATGCTTGCTACTGATAGTGCACAGGGGCTGCAACGTACATTGGTGTTTAGCACTGACAGTACCATGTCTGACACCACACCGACCTGATTTATGATAGTTTAGAAAATGATCAACTGAAGAAGCCATGGATATCGTGACATACTGCGTTCGTGCTTGCATATAGTTTATCAAGGAAGCCCTGGTCCCAAGTATTGACACTGTTCTGAAGGACTTGCTGGATAATCTCCAACAGCCCCTCCTTACCTTGACCCGAATTTGGCAAGGAAAACTTGAGTCGTTGAGCAAGCTCCTGTGGTTTTTGAAAGTCTACCAGGACATTATTCTTGACACCAGCTGAACTGGGGTGAATATGCCCCGTGGCACGCTCTGCTGCGGCATTATCGGCAGCCTTGATGTAAGGGACAATGAGACCCTTCACAGCATCGATGAGCTGGTGGTGTAACGTCAGCGACCAATCAGCTCAGAGGTTGAGATCGTGTCATGTCTCACATCGTTTACTTCTTCAGCCCTATGGAGGGTGGTTATGGAGGGGTTCCCATTGCGGCTGTTGGTCACAGTCATGACGGCTAATATCGGATGAGAAAAGTGAGAGATCGAAATATAAGTAACCTGGAGTAAATATAACTAGGTACTTTTCAGTGAAGTACAATATGTGTTTAGAAAGTTGAGGAATGAGGCACAATGAGAGTGAAAATAAAAAATAAAAATAAAAATAAAAAACAGCTCGTCATCTAAAGAACTTTCAGAGATGGGACACATCATTGATGGCAGCAATGGCTCAATGTCTCGTGACTTTTGGTTATCTCTGCGGGGGATTTCCCGTCCGATCAACCGAGTCTTTCCCGAGCATGTCAGAAATGTTCATTCTTGAGCGGCAAAGTCTTAAATACTGACAACCGAGGCTTGAATAGGCACGACTTGATACCAACATTTCTACATTAGCCATCTTTTAGTCAGTAGCTGAAAGCTGAGGATGATAGACGAAGAGGGGGAAAGCCGGGAACGATAAAAGTTTCAACGTTCTCGCTTGCAGAGCCTTGTCTTGAGGCTGGAGCTGGGTTATTGTCAGCTCAACTGAAACGAGTTGATCCAACTCAACCCTTGTTCAATTTCTTATTCTCCTTCGACCTCATCTTGCTTGACATTGACCTTGCCATTAACTTTATCAGACTGTTAATTCGCTGTCCGTGATCGCGCCATCAAGTACGTATAGGGTACCAAACCCAGCTGCTGCCCTTTTCATATGAGACAATCGGTCTAAGAAAGAGAACAAAGTCTCAGATCTGTGTCTTGAACACGAAGATCAGGAGGATATCATATTTTGGGTAAACCACCCACCAAACGAACCACTGCAGTCCAACTGTGAAGTTGTATCTGATCAGTGAGGGCAGGGGGAACGAATACACACTAGTTGCATTTGCCCTGACAAGAACAGAGACATTGTCTAACAACTTGTGGCCAAGATAGGACTCGAACGATGGCTCGAGCCCTCCGAGGGTAGGATCCAACCATGCTTCTACAAAACGCAATCGACCTACGGATACTCCGTAGTCTGTTCGCCTGATATTAATGATAGGTTTGCACATACGCAGTACATACTACTCATATCTCAGTCTTGTCTGTGCGCAGAAGTCAATTTACGGGCGACGGAGGAGAGCCTAAACCTTGTCATGAAACGAGAAGAGATGAGATGTAGCGTGGTGAGCCTGTTGAGTTCATCAGTGCGTGGGGGAGGGATGGGATGGGATGAGACTGTGACTGTGACTGTGCTTTTAGAGATACTCCGTACATGATATTAATGGTAGACGCTGAAGAGTGAAGACTAAAAAGGCAGGCCGGAGTGTCACCTGGCAAGGTTTTCACAATCACTGTCACATCGCTTATACCAGAGGTATGTAGATAGACAGAGAGCTCTGATCTGAGCGATGTTGAACAACACCAAGCAAATCTGTAACACCGATAACGCACGGAGTGGCAACCAAAGATACTTTGTCGTCTGTCCGCATTGCGCATCCTTCTTCTTATTCCCATGAGCATTGATTCGCAGTCTTGGCTGTGATGAGCTTGAGCTTTGACCCAACCTCTCTAGCCTCTCCTGCCTCTCTACAAAGTCACTTGCATTTGCATCTATTATCCACCCCGATTGCCACTCTGAGGACTCGCAAGTTTGAAGGTTCCGAGCGAGGAAATATCTCTGTTGATCAATTGTCCGCCCCGTTCTTGTCCTAGTCCTCCACCTTAGGCTTCAGCTTTGTCCCCTATAACTCAGGCCTGCTCTGGGCGATATTAGAAGAAAGTTTAAAACCCGACTCCGTTTTCAAGTCTCCCCACATTTTCGCCGTTGGGATCTGACCAAGCCTGAGATACCTACCTAACCTTGTGCTTGGCTACCTTACCCTTACCTATTGATTTTATTCAAAAGCTTATCGACAGCTGCAACATTCATTGGATGATGGAGTAGCTCGCCTACAAGATGGCTGACGCGTTGGGATGATGGAAGGGGAGGGGGATGGAGCCCCGAGACGAAGTGAAGAACTGGTGCAGATGAATGCCCCTAATTTTGATGTCTTGTCTTTTTTTAATTATCCTTGTCCCGTCACATCACGCAAGCATACCAGCTTCCCGGGATGGTGATAGATGGCGATGGTGATAGATGGCGATGGCGATGGCGATGGCGATGGCGATGGCGATGGCGATGGCGATGGCGATGGCGATGGCGATGGCGATGGTGTGCTGGCGGCGGTCGTGATAATGAAGGTTGCTTGGCTGGATATATCCGTACGGAGTAGAGACTTACTGTACTCTCAATCGCTTATATGCAGATCATGAACTGTTTCGTACCTTGCATGTGAAAAAGATGTGCAGCACAAGAATACCTAAACCAGTGCCCAACATTCATAGCATCAATTACTGGTACTTGCTGATGCCCAAAAGTAGGTACACATCTTTTTTTATGTATCTTTGCCTTTTACCCCTGCGCCGGCCAACGCCACAAACGTCTTCATCCCTGCCGTGCCCCATCTGCCCTGTCCCCCCCGGGCGCTATCCAGCTCTGAGTCCAGGTTTCCAGCTTAGCCAGCTCGTAGTAGCCCGTATCGCACCGAACTAAGAGCTCAACTCAACGCGGCACCTTGATCCGTTTTTCCGCACCGCGAACAAGGGGCAGCCGGCCATGGTTGGTACAGTATCTTTTGAGAGAGAAAAAAGGAAAAAAGCAAAAGAGACAAGAGACGTACATGGGGAAGGAAAAAATAAAGCAAACTTTTTCTCTTCACTTTCACTTTCTCACTTCCCTTTGTAATCTCTATCCTGTCATTCATTCCCTTTACCGCCCATACAGTCAGCCAGTCCTATATCGTGGCTATCGCAACAGACAACCTACCTCCCATTGACTCCAGAGGAAGCAAGTAACAAGACGAGCAATATCAGGCTCCCAAGGGTCGACGAAAGGGAGCAGCACCTGTTTCTCTCTACCTAGACTACCTACCTATCATCTATCATCCAATTCAACCATCATTCGTCATTTTTCTCACCCTGGACTCGGCTGTCTCAGAACAAAAAAAGAACAAAAAGCCCCTCTTTCATTGATTCATTCACTCACTCACCCCAAAGGGAGCTGCCGGCTGAGCCCTCAGCATTACACATTATCATTATCTGGCCAGAAACTCGGACCCCCAAGAAGCGTCACATCACATCACATTGCATTACGTTACAGCATTGATCATCACTTCCATATTATAATACCATACACATACGCTCACGTACACACCTTGCACCCGATTGCGACGAGACACGACTAGGACGATCGAAACGATATCATACACCTGACTCGACTCGAAAAACAATAGAACTCGGCTCCAACAATACAACTCCCCTACACCAAAAGGCCTTGGCAACTCGATCGCATCTAGAATCATTCTAGAATTTCCTGTCACCCGATCCACAAGCGGCGCGTTTCGGTGCCTATTGTGATCGCCCTACAGCTTCCGCTTCGGCTACCAACACAGTACCATCATACCGCAAAAATCTCCTTTTTATTTAACGCTCACTTTCGGTTCATAAACGATTCAGCGCAGCCTCCGACATGACGGCTCCGACACAGACACCTGTTCCTATATCTATCACGATCTGCGGCGATGGTGGATGCGGAAAGTCCTCCATTACACTGCGCCTAGTTCGCTCGCAATGGACTTCAGACTATGACCCGACTATCGAGGACTCATATAGCGTGACGCGCCACATCGACGGTGTTACTTACCACCTATCTCTTACCGACACGGCCGGCCAGGAGGAGTACCGCGGCATGTGGGCTTCCTCGAACCTCGGCGCCGATGCTTTCCTCCTCGTCTACGATATCACATCCAAAGACTCCCTAGATGCCCTACAGCATTTTAATGAACTTATCGATATGGAGGCAGAGACTCGTCTTGATAACGCTGACCGCGCTCGCCGTGCTGGTCTGCGCTCAGGTCACGATACGCGCTCCCGCACCATCCCTCCTGTCAAGCTCGTCGCCGGCAACAAGTGCGATCTGCAAGAGAGCAGACAAGTCCCTGCAGCTCAAGGTCTTGAATGGGCCCGAAAGCGTGGGTGTGGATTCATGGAGACGAGTGCGCGCCTGGAAGTCAACATCGAAGAGACGTTTGCATTGGTTGTGCGCCGGGTGGTTGAGGCTCGACGACTTGCTAATACAGGTCCGGACGCAGCAGAGTTTAATGCCCGCGGTATGACGAAACCGCTGACGCCTCTTCCGACCGATAGCGACATCGAGAAGCGCGCGGTTGGAGTGCGAGGTCCGAATCTTCAGGGCGACAGAGTGGGAGGGAAGAAGGACAACGGCTTTTGGAAGAGCCTGCGATGTTGGTGAACTCGGGCAAGCGCATTGTGAGAACAGGATAAGCAAAATGCTGGGAGAGTTTGTGTGGGTTTGTTGGGAGGAATATTTCACAAGGCTTCAAAATCATTATATACCAGGGATATCTCGGCGTCTTGGCGAAGGGCTTGGACTTTTATCTTCTTCATCGTTTTACAGAGGACGCGTTTGTTCTGGGGAAAGTATGTCTTCCATCATCTGACATCTTATGGAGTTATGCTTGCGCGCTACTGTCTTGGTTCTAACACCGCCGGGACTGATGATACTATCTTACCTTGACCACTTGTTTGCTGCTTAGTGCGCTGTTGGATTCTGCTTGTAAACGTGGGTTAATCAGGACACTGGCCTATAGACCAGTCTCACCGAAACCAGATATTGAGCCGGTTAATGCTCTTTCACGTAGGATATCTGGTGATGGTGCCTAGTTTTGCTTTCCAGAGGAGGATCGTCAAATATCGTCAGTATATGCTCTGGAAGCCAGAGTCATCGAGAATGTGGCAGGGAGGCTATAAGTCATGACTTTCCATAATCACGGAAATTGCAGCAAACCAGCAAACGCGTTGTGAACAGCCACCCAAGCCTGCACGTTGAAATCAATCATGAGGTTTATTGTCTGTAGCTGCCTGTTAGATGCGAATGCTTACAAACCCAGTTCTGCCTCTTGAGCGAATATGAGAGAAAATGTGTCACCGATAATCACAGCTGCATTACCATAAACGCTGGGCCTCTATGTCTAGAAGCATCTTCTTACCCTCTAGCCACTCTTCACGCCTCATCAATCCACTTCTTGTAATCAGCGTACTCCAGAGTAGTCTTCTTACCCTGGTAGCGTGTGACCTTGAGGTCTAAGTCTTTCCAGCGTCCTCGACTACCAGTCCACCCCGCCTTGCGGATGAGACTGAAGAGCGTTTCTTCTTTAGTCCATCCCTGCTCGGAGGCTACATCTGGGAGGTAGGTTGAGCCATAACGGCGGCCGCGATCGTAGAATGAGAGTCGGATGCCGTGAACGCCAATTTCCCAGTCAAATATGTCATCGACTTCTTCAAAATCGGTCAGGAGTGTGACCGCGACTTGGAGCGTAGGCAATTCAGACTTTCTGATTGGGGAGAAGCGAGTGTCTTGAAGGGCAGAGATAAGGGCGTATTCCGGGATACCCTCAGCTAGATCTTGAGCTTCAAATGTGCCGATACAACCTCGCAGCACGGGCTCGCCATCCTCCATCGTATTCCATGTCACGAATAGCGGGGCAGATGTTGGGGGGATAGAAAGAGAAGAGGTGCTCGTGGCAGGCGTGGAAGCACCTAGCGAGGTCGAAGACGAAGAAGAAGAAGCGCTGGCATCAGGGATCGCTAGATGCCGAAGACTGGGATCGTCCAGGGTCTTTGGAGCAACAGGCTCTGGATTTGAGGCAGAGGCTGAGGATTCTTGAATCTCTTCCAAAGTCAGAGCTTTGCGGTGAGTGAGGTGAGCTTCCAGCGCCTCAAAGCATAGTAGACAGTGATCTCTGGTAGCCATCGGGGTGTAGAGTGGACGAAAGAGCTGCTGAGAAAGGTCAGGAGACTTATCAGAGATAAGGCGACTGAGAGGAGAGAAGGTAGTAGAAGCGTTGAGTGAGTATGCCTCCCAGCAACAGCATGAACGATAGGATCTTGCCAGACGTAGAGGTAACTAAACGGAACGCGGAAGAGCGAGAGTAGAGTCAGAGGAGAGGTTGGAAAGCGAAGGTGAGAGACCGTGAAATGGAGAGATGCACCGGATGGAGGGGTAGTTCTGTTGATGGTTCAGTGGGACCTGGCTGAACTTTACTGGACGCCCGGGCAGTAATCAACAGAGCTAAACGACCAATACAGTTCGGCCAACAGCGCCATGAGGAGGGGTTTGGGACACTAAGATAGGTACCTGACCTTCCTCCCGCCATTCTAAACAAATGGAATCGAATCTGTAAAGTCCGAGCTGCCAGATGATGGAAGCTTAAGCTTTCCCAAGGCTTCCATTCCCTCAAGCTTCTTTCTGAGCTTTCTTGGGGATGCAAGCTTCCATTATACTCACACATTCATTCATACCTAAGTACCTAAGGTAGGTTGGATTCCCCCACGATTCCGGAGCGGCCCCGCTACAGTTGGTAACCGCCCAAACGGCATTACTGGATGGATGGCAGGGATAGGCAAGCTAGGGACGAAATATGAAATCAGTCAAAAGAGATAAAGTTAACGAGATCCGAAGCGACACACCGTTTTATGCCATTAGGGAACTTGGCAAGGCTTCGCCTGTATCCTGATACCGATCCGAGTATCACTTTGTTACCGGATGGTCAAGTACCGCCAGTTTGATCGTCACCCCGGAGTTACAGACTCCGGATAATGTTTCAGTTGCGACTATGGAGCTGTGAGGATGATTCATCTCAAATGCCGATTGAGTTGTAATATTCAAACAGGATCTGATATCGTTGCCAGGATACGGATCTATTCATGAGTACGCTTCTTCAGAGTTCCGAGCAGATCTACGTTTGACTCCCTTGGCAGAACATCCCAAACACGTCTCGGAACCGTCTCGAGTTTTGCAACCCCATAAACACTTACGCAAGCTCATAGCAAGGAGAAGCTGTATGCGCAGGTACATAGTATAAGTAGTCATACCCTTTCTCGTCAAGTGAAGAAGTCCTCATGCTGTGCATCCCACATCAGTCTTTGTTAACCACTCTTCATCTTCACTACTCTCTTTCAAGTTTCTTCTCGTCGCAGGCCGACATCTTTATTATTGTTCCCATCAAAGCCCATTTGCAACTCATATCAGTCAAGATGCGTTTCTCTATCTTCACCTTGGTCGCCCTTGTCTCGGCTTCTTCAGCTTCGCTTGGTAAGTACACGGTTGCCTTCTCAAGAAATATTACTGTTGGCTGACTATCATCAGTCCGCCGAGTCGATGTCAATGTTCCGGCCATGACAAACGCAGATGGAGTCGTTGTGCCATTCGACACAGCTGGTGTCGTCCAGCCCGCTAAGAAGCGAGATCTCGAGCAGAAGAAGAGAGACCTCGCCCAGCGCAAGCGACACGTTTCTCACAAGAGACGCGCGGTTTCTCAGGAGAAGCAGCAGCAGAAGCAATAATTAGAGAAACTGCAGAGTTGGAACCCATAATGAAGTCACGGACGGATGCCTCTCTTGAAGCAGAAGCCCGGGGGCTGAGGAAACAGACAAATGACAACAATAATTGCAGTGCTTGGACTTGGCTTGTACAGAATAGGAGATAAGGTGCGAGAGATGGGAGCACTGCTCACGTCGTAAGGCTGGGCCTTTTGTGGAATCATAATTATAATCATCATGACCTTGTTTTTTTAGAGTGCATGTTCTTAAACGCAGCCATCCCGAAAAGGTTCTGCCTATGGAGTAGCCTGCGCTGACATTTCAAGCTTGATCATGTGAAGTTTGGACGTCGTTAACAAGAGGATCTAATCCATGTATTTTGTTTACGTTCTCCAATTTCGCTATGTGCCACGGACCCTGCTCATAGGAGCTGTCAGCATCAGACAAGTCACTACGGATAGGCTACCTAGTATCCTGCCTGTCATCAATCTTTTCTATGGATCAACTAAGTTGGGTACCATGGTAATCCGCAATGCATACCAAAATAGTTGAAATATTTCATGCTTGAATGTTGAAGACAGAAGTGAAGGGTTTGTCAATTCCTGAAGCGTGAGGCTTCTGTTTACTCAGCGGGAAAGGCGAACGAATGTCTAGAGATAGAAAATGACCTTTTGTCACCAATCTATATCTATGTCAAGCTGTAACTAGGTATCCAGTGACTTGCCTTCTAGGTGTCATCGACACCCTCGATCAACCCTGTGGACCCTTGAAAACTCGGTGCGATCACCATGTCACTACAGACACACTCTTTATCTCGGTACTATGTTAGTTACCATGTGAGGCCATAAGTTTCCATAGATTGGCTATTGGGAGGCAATCATTTTGTGGCCAAATGGCCGAAGCTGTATCTGGGTTTGTTTTGCAATCACTATAAGAAGCCTTATTGTTGGTAGAGGATTGAGGCGCAGTTTCAAGACGTGGGCAGCCAAGGGGATTATTCCTAGATTTTGACGACATCAACCGAGAAAGGAATCTATTCTCGGTAACCCATGATCTCACTCCTGCGGGCTACGGGCTAATAAGGATACCTAGGTAGTCTAAGTAGCGGAGATAGTTCAACTCCGTTCCGTTCTTATGCTGAAGGGCAAATAACAATTCACAACTTCACAGCAACATCAGACCAATCAACCTCTTTTCTTGTCTTGTCTAGGTTCCTTTCGGCCCCCACTCGTCGCACCTTGGAGCTACCGCCACATCTGCTCTGCTCTGCTTCTCAAATCAAACCCTGACGCCTGAATGCCACTATGCAGATGTGGCATTGCTCCAAGCGGTCTCCAACAGCCCAGGAATTCCTTCTGACGTCTTAGCAAGATCGATCGTGGTTATCAGTTGCTTGTTGTTCGACCGTCTTTTTGTCTAAGTAGTGTAGGCCATGTTTCTATTTACAGGGCTGAATGAGTGGAGTTGTTCATCCTCATTAGCTTGGCTTTTCCCGCAGATGAAACCCAAAGTCAGCCTTGCCGCTTTCGAGAACCTGGGCCTGATGAGATGAGATGAGATGAGATGAGGTGAATGAATGAATGTCAAAAATGCCTCTTCCACAAACCCTAGCGGTGCTGCGCAGCCTCGCGCCTAACCATGGCGCCAATATAGAACAGATCCTTCCATCAAAGCAATGCCCTAGGGGCCGTTGAGTTTTCCCTAGGCTAGCTGCTCGCCTGTTTTGATGGCTTGAGGCTGACAAGCCTAGCTGAGTTGAGTCCGAGACTGTCTAGTTCCCCCTAAACTAATTGAAGGCTGCACCTTTGTGTGGACGACTCTCTGACAATCAACTCGCAGAGAGTCCGAAACCACTGAGCCTCGTCTCTTCATCCTACGGATACTAACCCAGCAAATTACTAGCCCTAACTTAGGGGTCTCAAAGTCCCTCGACTTCTGAGCTGTCACCGTTCTCACTCCCCGCCGTCAGCAAAGTTCTACCTACAACAACACTCTCAGCCGCAGCCCTCCATCAGCACTAAGCCCAATTCCAGTTGAGCAACCCCAGTGTAAACTGCACAATAGTGGAGGCGGTGGCTCATCATCCCTGACCTGGCGCCATGAATATCGAAGAGGGCTGAGTTGAGTTGCGGGGACATGGGAGACTAGACAGTTGTAGGCTGGCATTGCCCGCCGAAGAGGTTGATCAATAAATAAATAAGAGGCTGACCCCCTTGGGAGGTGGATGTTCGCTGACGCCTGAATGATCCTTTAACGGCTAAGAATCCTAGATGCTCCAAGATCAAAACGCACGCTGGCCGACGGTGACAAGAAGAGCATTCTTACGATTACACGTTGATGACAACAGAACTTCTACATGAAAAACGACCAGCCAGTACCAACCACCATTGAGCAGGAATACTCTGGAAGAGACGGACAACTACGCTGCCGAGCCAACTGCTGAGCTTTGGTCCCAACAGAAATTACCGCAGCGTAAGAGCACAAAGAATAAGACATCCTCACGATGCTCATCAGTGGAAACCATCGTGCTCAGGCACAATTCGATCGGGCAAAATGGCGCCCAATCGTTATGATCCCTACATGGGTTCTTCAGCTGGGCTTGTCTATGTCTATGATGGGACTTTTCGCCTATAGATTGGGCGACAGCATGAAGGTGAACAAAGACAGCGACAAGAAGAACGACGATCCTACAATTGAGATTGTGTAAGTCAACAAGAAAGCCTAATGCTTGATCTGATGCAGCAGTGTTACTGACTGTGAACAGGTGGGAGGCTACAAATGTAGCTCTCTGGTTCGTTGCATCTCTATGCAGTTTCGTCGAAATCGCCAAATACTTCGCTGAGGCATTGACTCCGTGGACCATGCTATTCACACATGTCATAAAACTGACCTGCGCGATCGCCACTCTCGCGCTTGATATAGTTGTCTATACCGAGAAACACGACAAGCACTACTCCCTCGTCGCTCTTGGCTTAGACTGTGCTTTTATGTAAGTTCCCGGTGTCTGGCTTGAACATGGACTGCACTGACTGGCGGCACTTTAGCATCACCTCACTAGTCCTGGTCTTTTACTCTGTGCGAAGATACCGCCGCCTTTCCGCTTACGACGATTATACACACCCTGTCAACGTCAAGCCTTATGGTTTCAACGACGACCTTGAGCGTGATACTTCATACGCTCGACAGTCTACAGACAAGCGCTTTTCTTCGGCATCGTCACGAGCTAGCATCATCTCAAAGCGTGAATCTGTCGAGATGGGCACCGTCCAGCGAACACCAAGCGTCTATTCACACAAGCGTGATACCCAATTCGACGACTATGTAGCACGTCGCGGCTCCGCCACGAAAGAACGCATCGGCAGCGGAGACTTCAGCTACGCTGGAGCTCAGGGCGAGGCCCAAGACTCTGGAGCAGCACTCACACCAACTCGCCCAAGGGGCGCCAGTAGCGGTCGAGCAGCGAGCTGGACGAGCGACCGAGGTCTCGTAGCTGTACCAGAGGAGGAGGACGACACATCAGCTGGGAAGGAATCTAAGGCAGAAAAGGAAAAGAAGGATCGCGAGGCCCTTTTGGGCAACACTCCTCGCGAGAGCATTGATGGCCTAGTTGTTCCACAAGAAGCTGACCTTTCGGAGCCCAGGTGGCAGCGCGAATAGTGAAAAAGGGAGGGAATGAGAGGGTTCCATTGGTAAAGAGAGCCTTGTGAGACTTATACGAAAAGAAGACTATTTGGTCCCGATCTCCACGACTGTATATACCCACGGGAGAATTGGCGTTTCAGGGGTGTTGAAGTAGCTTCAAAGGCCGACTGTTTTGTGATACTTTATAATGATAGATGCAAATATTTGTTCCAAACTTAGGTGCGATAAGAACATTTTTCTTTCCAATCGAGGCCAACGTTCCAAGTTATGCTTTTGGTTAACGGGGCATTTGTTTCCAGGATATGCCATGATGGATTTTACCAGGTCGATGCGTGAATGACTAACACTTTGAGATTGGGTCGACAGTGAAGACAGCTGGAGATTTTCACATAAACCTGCTGGTCTGTTATCAAGATGGAAGTCAACAGCATGTGAAAACAAGATCGATGCTGTGATGGTGCCGCAAAGTTTGACATGATCTGGACTTACAAATTTGTATCTGACCATCCCTTCGAAACAAGCAAGCTGGGCAATTTTATAGAGGTGACTCAAGCACAGAGCGAGATGAGACATCGCAGATAGTTACAACTTATAAATCACGGGCTGTAGGAAGAGTTGATTATCACAACTTCGTTAGCGTTTCGCTGCAAATGTTCATCGTTTATAAAGCTCCCACGTGAAGACTACCCATCTCGATCTCGGGCATGAATACAAACAGAGTTGGAGCGAGATGTAGTTCTCAAAATCTCCCATTTACTTAGCCTCATGTACGCCATCATGTAGTGACTCGAGAACAGGCCTTTATTCATACAAAGCGGGCGCCAAAATAATATCACTGTAACACTGTTCCTAATTTGGCCTTGTTCGAGATTTCGGTCGTTCAAACTATCATTATGAACACAAAACGTCAATTTCGATACGCCGTTCTAGCACCTTATTTCCACATATTCCGTCTTGCAGTTCTCATGTTCGATACACAATGGGCTTTTGAGGGTCAATTTCCTGGAAGCACTGGCAAGGTATGCAGCCAAATCTCCGTATTATCACCTCCCATCGAATCAGGGTATGATTCACCTTCCATGAGAAATCGGCTCCTTCTGATTTTTTACTGCCCTAGATCACGTTTAAGTGTCCCATATCTTGGTCACCTTTCGAAAGCGGCTAAGTCGTTCTGAGTTGTTTCTCAATGCTTCTTCATGGCAGTCTCCAAAAACTCTGTGGCCTAATTTTGAGACCTACGATGTATTATAAATTCCACTTTGACAACGTATGGTTCCTACAGATTATACGCACGACTGTAGTCATGCTCGCTACACAGGTACTGTTATCATCTTTTAGGCATGCACCCTTTGGCGAGTTTCGTCATACTAAGGATTAGAGACAAAAGACGTGGAGGTTTGAGAAAGAAGAGTTACAAAGAGAAGCTATATCTAATAGATGAGCTTTTGAGATGGTGAGACGGTTAGTACTACTAGGTGTAGTATATCCTTGTGCAGGTTTGTAAAGAAAACAACAGGGAAGTGGAAATCGTTGTAGACACAATGATTTTGGTAGAAAAATACTATGTAAACGGACAACACGATCCTTCAATAAATACTTAGTCTATTCAATACACACGGGAAATGAATCTCTGATTCCTTTGCTTTGTCTCGGAGATCTTGTTGAGATGGTTTAACAAGTGCCCGAGGTGGGGAATGATCGGCCGATGAGCGCTGGGTTCACGGGTGTACCTTGCATTAGACTGATGAGTTACGGAGTAGCGCAAAGTGAATTGAGGAGGGGAGTTTTTATGGAAATGGTGTCAGTTTCCATTGTGTTATTCCCTTCCGCTTTCGAACACTATAAAAATGACTCACCTTTGGGCACAACTTCCGAGTCAAGTTGATGTAATAGTATGCTCGATACAATCTTGTTTCGTCTATCTTCTTAGAGACTTCTCCTTAATCCAGAACGCCAACGAAAATGATGCCACAAGGTAAATAGAAATCAAGGCAAGTGATGAAATCCCTGCGATCTGGTAGCTCGACCGAACCTGATCTGCTAAATGAGGTGGTAATTCTTTGATAGAGTCAAGACTCTGACGGACTTTCTCCTCGATCTTACGAGCTTCTTCCCCATCGGGGAGCCGAGCTGCCAACTGCATTCGCAGAACTTGCTGAAGTACCGCAGAACCAGTACTGATACCTATACTAGCCCCGAGGGATCGGAAGAGATACGAGCATGCTACAACAACAGCAGTGTCTTCAGCTGCGGCATTTGCGAGCAGACCAATAAGCGTTGTCACAAAAGCTAAACACTGTTAGCAAGGTAGATCCCACAGTATGTCAGCAATAGCTTTTTATCATACCACAACCGGCTCCGAATGACATAATAGTAAGACCAATAGTCTCTCCGGCGGTTGAACGGAGCCAGACGAACATGCCCATGGGGATGACTGAAGCGAGGACGAGTGCATTGGCCGATAACGTTATGGCGTAGAACTTTTCTGTTCTTTTGATGATCCAGCCACCTAAAAGTGAGCCTGCAACACCTGCAACCATTCCTGGGACAAGCAAGGAGCCACTCTGAGTAGCACCTAGGCCCTGAACAGCTTGAAAGATGAGAGGTAAAAAGAAGATTGTCGATGTCTGTCCCGCCCCTGAGAAGAAACCCACCCCATAGCAGGCGAACAAGCTACGATCAAATATTATGTGACCGGGCGTAAATGGATGAGAAGCCACGTTTATTTCGATCAAAAGAAACAAGGCAAACAGGACTGGAGTTAAAGACAGGGCGACGACAGTCATAGCATGTGACCATCCGAGGTTAGAGCCAGAATCCAGACCAAAGAGGAGAGCAACTACAGCCGCCACGAGAGTGAAAGCGCCGAGAAAGTCAATCTTGCGGACCTTGGTAAGCCAGTGATCATGTTCAACCGGTGGAAGGTCGAGGACGATATAGACGGCTATGAAAGCAAGGAAGCATAGCGGAACCTGGCCAAGAAACGACCTAAAGGGAGCGTTTAGATGTGCCTAACTCGGCATGCTCAGCCAGACTTACCATCGCCAGCCGACCGAATCGGCCAAAATTCCTCCAAGGGGAGCTCCAGTAGCAGTTCCGGCGAAAAAGAGAATGCTGATCTTGCCTTGCCACACACCACGATCCTTGAGCGGTACGAGATCACTCAGAAGGATGGCGACAACAGAGTTCATGCCCCCTCCGCCAATACCTGCCACGGCTCGCGCAGCACATAGTTGTGCCATATCCTGGGCAATGCCACAACCCAGGGATCCCAGAGAAAAGACAATATAGGCAAAGAGCAGACATGGTTTGCGGCCAAATATGTCGCTCAATTTACCGTAGAGAGGTTGAGAACTTGTCAAGGTTAGGAAGTATCTGATTGAGTATTAGCCGGGCCAATATATCTGCCATGCTCTTTGACTCACGTGGTGGCAATCCAACTGGTATTGTTCAAGGCATTTAGTTCGTTACCAATCTTGGCATAAGTTGCAACAGTTAGAAGTTGATCGGCGGCAGCGAGGTAGACCTTGATAAAACTGTGAGTAAAAGCCGGCGATATGGGTAAAGGCCTTGAGGATACTCCTTACACCAATTCCGACAGCTGCGATCACGAGATGCAACTTCTTGTCACTATATAGTGCTTTGGGAGTATCGCCACCTAACACCTGTTCGTTTTCGATGTTTCTTGGTGTATCGTCATGATAACGATCTTCAAGAAGGGGCGAACCTTCTGACGAGCCCCCTCAGTTCAAACTGCTGTTCATATCTCTTCCTTGCCAAAGCCCGAGTAAAATGGGAGCACAGGATACCGCAAGACTGCCGTCTGGTATTCACTGGCGAGGCAGTTTTCTGGCCGAGAAGTTTGGAGAGTCCAGAGTATCTAGCAATATTTGGACGTGGCGATGCTGCAAATAAGATAGATATTGGCCTTGCTTAGGTATGAGTTGGATCTAAATTCTCAGTCAGATTCGAGCAGCCATCAGGCGGCGTAATCGGAGAAACTGTTATCATTATAGGAAGACTATCTATGATAACAAGTGAAGCTCCTCGAGAAGTAGGGACCTTTGTACCTCAAATGATATCGAATCATCCTCCTCCGTGTAACTAGTTTAATTTGTTCTTGTGAAGCACTCGGCGACTTTCAGCTTTTCCGCTTCCATCCTGTACAAACCTCTTAATTAGTTCGTATCACCATAAGATGAAACTTTTGGACTGATGGCTAATGTCATCATTCTCACCTGCCAGACACGCGGATGTTGAATGTCAGCGGCTTATGCCAGTGTTGCGCTAGACTTGGGGAGTAGTCAAATATAATTAAGCAGGGATTTCAGGATAAAACACTGTTTACGACTGATAAACTCGATGACGTCCTTGCCACAAGAGTGAGTGCATCAAGTGTGCTATGAATGAACAGGAAAGGAACTCAAGTATTGAATCATTAGAAACAAACGTCTGGGCCAATGGCCATTCAAAATGTCATGATGATTGCAATGCCTTGTACTACACATCGGGCTCCCTATTACTGCAAGCTTATGCGTCCTCGTTCATCGACATCAAGTTTGTGCTGCTCACATCATCTACGCTATGTGGCTACGCGGGTTCGTTCACATGGGATTCATCTGAAACATGGAACATTCGACCAATTTTGACAAGACAGGGGCTGGTTGCTGAGTCTGCCAAGATTACCGGGTCAGAGGCGAATGCGGGCCAAATCTCATTGAGCATCACTAACTAATGCCAAACGCGTTACGGAGATTTCATAGAATAGAGACAAGGTCTCGTCATAGCGGTCGCCGCTGCTGGTTACATCGTGCTGACTGATTCGAAGAAATTCTGGCAGGCCTGAGCAACAATTCAACATTACAGGATCGCAGATGGTGGATTGCCATTCTGCAGCTTCAAATTACCTGTGGAGATGCTTGGGCTACGGAGGATCGATCGCCCCGAGTGTACACAGACAGGGGAGAGACGTGACGCGTTGGGCGATCAATTGCAAGGGTCGATAAAGTACAGTA